CTGTACAAGTATGCTTGATACAATTGATGTATGGCTGTTATAAGAGCTGTAAAAGCCCCCAATAAAATAATCTCACATCAAAAAAGAAAAAAAGACACCCCAGCAAGACCCCAGGGGCTGGTGGGACATCAACTGGATGCTTTCTGCTCTCAGCTAGACTGTCTTGGAGCGTTGAGATCTCTCTTTCTGCTCTTTTGTGGGTTATGAGCTAGGCTGCTACTTGTGAGGTAAACAATTCAAAGCCACCAGCTACTTCAAGAGAGAATGATGAGGCTTTCTATTCCCGTAGAGATCCACAGTCTCAGAAACTCACTGGGCAGTTTACTTGTGCTGTGGGGTTGCCCAATCGACTCCCTGGAATTGACTCCACGGCAGTGCGTTTGAGACTGAAGATAAAAGGTCAGGGAATCCCCTACTTTGGGTCAGGTTGTATCCCATCCTAAAGGAGCCCTGGTGGCGTACTCGTTACACATTGGACTGCTGGTGACAAGGTCAGCAAGCTGAAACCACTGGCCACTCTGTGGGAGAAAGATGGGGCTTTCTCCTCCATAAAGAGCTACAGTCTCAGAAACTCACAGGGGGCAGCTCTACCCTGCCCTAGAGTGTTGTTATGAGGTGGTATTGTCTCAATGGCAGTGAATTTAGTTTGCTTGTTTCCCCCCACCCTAATTACATCAGATCACACCATAGAAGATGATCGCAGCATTAAATAAGTGACACGTCAGGTCATTGCATAACTGCCCCAACAGTAAGAAGTACAACCAACCACAATGCTTCTTAGAGGCAAAAATGGTGAGACTTTGTCTCACGTACTTTGGACATGATTTCAGGAGAGACCCATCCCTGGAGAAGGCCATCATGCTTGGTGAAGTGGAGGGGCAGCACAAAAAGAAGACCCTTGACCAGATGGACTGACACAGTGCCTTCATCGATGGGTTCAAACATAAGACCATTGTGAAGCTTGCACAGGACCAGCTAGTGTTCCCTTCTGTTGTACAGAATAGGGTTGCTAGGAGCTGGAACAGAGTCACCACCTAACAGCACTGCCTCAATGGTTCATTTTCAGGTGTCCATTTCACTTTTGGTGACTTCCAATTTTCCTCGATTTACACTTCATACGTCCCATGTACCTATTATTAATGGGTGTTTGCAGCTGTGTCTCCTTTGGCGATGTGCCTCATCAGCAAATGAAGGTCCCAAAGGCTTCACTCCATTCACATTAAGATCAACTCAGCTTGGAGGAGGCAGCTGGTGGTTTTGAACTGGTTACCTCACAAGTAGCATCCTGACACAGAACCCACAAGGGAGCAGAAAGGGGGATCTCAATGCTCCAAGACAGTATAGCTGAGAGCAGAAGGCATCCAATTGATGTTTCTCTAGGCCCTGGGGTCTTGATGGGGTTTCTTATAATTTACTCTCCTTTGTTTCAATCTTGCAATTCTGTTAGAATATATGATGAGTTGACAAATCTTTGCTGTTTTTCTTTAGAAGTCAGA